ATGAACTTATCAACTGATGTTTCATGGTTTGATAGCATTCGTCTAACGGAGCTTGGGGTAACTCAGATGTCACAATATACTCTCCCTTCTTAGGCCTTTGTGTTTAAGGCTACCAGTTTTATAAAAATTTTTGACCTGTCTCTAAGTTCTGAAAATATCTATCAATGAATAAAAAATAATTATAGGTAACCTTTATTGAGCGTATATGTGCCAGGCAATAGTACTTGTGTTTTTCATATATTATAGCATTTAGCCTTCACAATCAACCACTAAGTAGGTATCATTATTATACCCATTTCACAGATGAGAAAACTAGAAGCACTAGCAAAGGTGAAGCTAGGATTCTAACATGTGCAACCTGAAACAGATTCCATGTGTTAGCGGGTAAGAGTATGAGCTCTACCTTGCACTGGCGTATGCTTATAGTTCCTGCATTTTGGCATTGTACTTTTCCCTCTTTCCACAGTGCAGTGGCAGTGCCAATGCACATCCTCAGCATTGCTCCACTCATCATTTTCAGCGACTGACACATCACTTCCAACGGCTAGTTCATCAGTGTACCCAGTAATGCAAAGGGTGCTTTCTACCTTACCAATGTATAATCGCCACCTAGTGGTAAATATGTAATAATAGCCAGTTCTAGTGATTGAAGAGTTACCCATATCATTCCTAAAAAGTGTCTTGACACAAAAATCCTTTAAACTTCGATACAAACGAAGCCAGTTCTACTGTAAGCAATAGATAACAATGATCAGTTGTGTGTATAACGTTATTTTAAAATAATACAGCCTTTGGGACACTGACATTTTTGTAGTAAGAGTTTTTAAATGCCTTCGGGTTGTATTGCCTGTATAATATCTGTATAATGTTTGTAGTTAAAAGTTTTCAACTTATGTTTTCTTTTTTGAGTTATAAATGTTAGAAAATGTCAGTGTTGAAACTATTTTGGTAAAAAATAATCATTGTCGGGCCGGCCCCGTGGCTTAGCGGTTAAGTGCGCGCGCTCCGCTGCTGGCGGCCCGGGTTTGGATCCCGGGCGCGCACCGACGCACCGCTTCTCCCGCCATGCTGGGGCCGCGTCCCACATATAGCAACTAGAAGGTTGTGCAGCTATGACATACAACTATCTGCTGGGGCTTTGGGGGGAAAAATAAATAAATAAAATCTTTAAAAAAAAAAGCTATTTAAAAAAAAAATAATAATAATCATTGTCATTAAGGAAAAGAAACAAGTGTGGCTAACATTTATTGAGAACAAACCTCAACTGGAGAAGTACTTAGGCTTGCATAGACATGTGAGAGCTTGAACAAACGGGCCTTGCTCCTATCGTGATTTCAGGTGTTTTAGGTATTTTTGCCCGTTTGGTTTTATGTTCCCCACTTTGCCCTATTACCTATAATCACCCATTTCTCTTTGATTCATCTAACTCCATGGCATCCAGATTTTACATTCACCTCCCAGATCTTCTTAGTTCCCAGCTGGTCCAAGATCCATCCTCCTTGTCAATTCCAACACGTGGGGCTTAACAATATTTGCAAACATTGGTATCTTAAGCGTAGATGCTAGATTTTTATCCAATCGTTTTAAAGTAATTTTCAATATCTGTTTATTAATATAATCTACAATACAATGTCCTTATATTTGGATGACTTATGTATTCCATGCTTTTCAAGTACAAATCTTGAAAAGCATGGAATACATCTTACTTGGTGTTGTATATTATTGATTTTTTAAGCATGCAACTGAATTCCATTTTCTACGTTCTTTTAAAAGTACCAGTTTCAGATTAAAAACTGAGAGAGATACTTTTAAATCTTTGACTCTGATGACTATGGTTTTGTCAGAATCTTCTTGTATTTATAAAACCTTTTGTTTTATGTATTTCAACATCACATCATCTGAATCCTCAAGTGATAGTTATGCTCTCAGTTTATTTTTTACCTGTCAATCCTCCTTTGTCTGATTTTAATATTACTATGCCTGTTGTGTTTGTTGTTATATATTGAAGATGTCTGGTATGGCAACGGAAGGAGGACAGTGAAGACTGATTAGGGTCAGTCAGGAAGTACCCCTGTCATACGTGGACCATGATAACAAAATGGAGTAACATATGTCAAGGCTTCTGAAATGGAGCTGGGAGGCCATTAAGAAAATGCAGTTATGCACGACCACCACGTCTCTACCCAGATGAAATGTAACTTTTGAATTGTGCTGTCACCTTGACCTTCTTTCAAGAAATACGCTTACTTCTATAGATAAGAACTTTTTGCCTTAGAGGTGGCCTTAGCAACCAATCACACCTAGCCAAGATGTAACAGTTGTTGCCAGCAGCAATGACAAATTTTGCAAAACAACTTGTATAATTTAGCTCTTTTTGCCTTTAAAAACCGTGGCCTCCTTTGTCTTCCTCAGAACACATTTTTGGGTTTCTGCCTGAATCTGTGTCTCTCGACTTGCAATTCTAATTGCCCAAGTAAATATCTGCTGTTTAAATTGCTGTGATTTTTCCTCAGTTGACAAGTAGGATTGACCCCCAAATGAAATCTGGGTCATGTCATTGTGGCGGAAGAGAGTGGCTCGAATATCATAGTAATCAGGAATACATGCAACTGGAAGTTACAGAAAATACCCAACTAGGAGCAATTGCAATTAAACATACAATAAAGAAAACGTATGAGTTTATTTTTCTATGTGAAGAGCATAGGAACTAGGCAGTTGTCAATATTATAGTGTGTCCACTCTGGACCTCTTCCAAGGGAGCAGAATCAAGCTGATCACAAAGTTGGGCTCTGAGAAAGACTATGATTGAATTCATTAACCAAAGATCCAACTACGTTTTAAAGTATCATATTTGAATCAAATTTATTTTACGCTTGATTTTTTAAATATAGATGGGTATACAGATAGATAGGAAAAATATTTTATTCAACAATAAACTATATTTTTTACTGACCCAATCACCTAAGCCAAAATAAAAATCACTTGTTACAAATTTAAATTTCAGAAAGCATCAATTTCAACAACTTTTAAGATATAAATGTTATATATGTACGTATATTATATGTATATGGTCTTCCGTATTGATTTACGTAAATTAAGCATTAAAAAATGTTTGAGGTCTGAAATATAAACTCTTTCAGAATTGATCTCTACCTCAAATGAAAAAGAACTTTTTTTGTTATTGTTTCTAATAATCATTTATTATTTTTCATTAATTCCACAAAAAGAACATTTGCTATTCAGTATCTCTCACGTAAAAATGCTTATGGTTAAATGTATTTTCTCCCATTATTTTTATCCCATGCACTAGAAAAAAGCAAACAGTGTAGTTGCATTTTACTACAATTCTGCCAAAGAAAGTACTGAATGTAAATTCATATTATGAGTGAATAATGATGTATTTCACCTCATTTTAATTTCAGTAATTGAGTGGGAAAACAGGAAGATCTATTAAAAGGACTGTGTACTGATCAAGCACTAATGAGAAAATCTCTGAGTCCCTGGCTGTCATGGTAACAGGGCATTATGGAAATCTGATTAGTATGCCTAGCGGCTACAAAAGTGATAGACTACACTTCTAACTGTGTTGTCTCTGCAAGATGAGCTTTATGTTCCTAAGAGGTGAGAGATGACATGGCTCTGTTTATCTGTACACCAGATACGGAATGCACTACATGTTCGAAAATTGAGTTCAAAGACCTAGTACCAAAGATAAATTATACTTTGAGAAGATTTACAAAAATTAAAATTAAAAAAAAATTAGTTCACTCTTCTCATTTAACTGACAGATTTCTGAACAATTTGTTTTATTTTTATTTCAATCTAATTTCATTGACATTCATACCAAAGATAAGACAAAGATGGTAAAAAAAAAAAAAAAAAAAGTTTTGTGAAAACAGGAAAATAAATCAATCGAGTCCCATTAAGAACAAAATACCCCAGTGGAATGGGTTAGAAATTGCACTAAGAACTATGAGTCTCCAAGAGTAATTAGACCAGAGAGTGTTAGAAAGAGCCAGATGCAAGAGTGTTTACAAACGTAAAGTATAACAATGAGCAAGAGAAGACGGTCAGGAGTTGACCACAAGCAACTGTGTGCCAAGCTCTCTGCCACCAGAAGTAATGTATGTGTCTGTTTAACAATATCTTTCCTTCTGTGCCCTTGGCCTTTAGGATACAAAAACTCGGTGAATTCTGAAAATTGCAAGGCTCGGTGCTTTCAGTTCTGCTTTGTTCTATTTAATATCTTCAGTGTCAATGAATTTTTAAAGAAATTGATCACTGCCTTCTGATCCTTTTTGGTAAATAAAGTAATTCTAAAAGGAAAACCTTTTAGATTAACAGAGGCAAAGTAAACACTGGCATGCATTATTGACTAGCAATCCGTGTGCCTTGTCAGACTTGTGGGTACAAGGAGCGTTAATAATGCGTGTCTTGGGAAGCTTATTACTCTTGTTAAATGCATCAGCATGAGGACTAAGTTTTACATGTACCAAATATCAAAAGCAATCAATCTAAAGTCAATATAATGAAAGCTAGAGGAGCATTTATCTACATGTTTCGAAATTCAGTGGTGGCCGTGGGGTTGCAGAGAGAAAAGTGTCATTAAAGCCAGCAAAGTACAAAGTTTCATTTATACAAGATGAGTAAGTACAGCAAAGAGGCTATAGTTAACAATTCTGTACTGTATACTTAAAATTTTGCTAAGAGACTAGATCTTATGTTAAGTGTTTTTATAATAATAATAAAATAAATGCAGTGGGTGGGGGGAAACTTTTGGAGATGATAGATTCTTATGGCATAGATTGTGGTGATGGTTTAAAGGATGTACACTTATCTCCAAACTTATCAGGCTGTATGCATTACATACGTACAGTTTTTGTGTGTTATTCATACTTCAATAAAGTGGTTTTTAAAAAAAGCCAACAGAGTGAAGAAACAGAGTAAACAAGTGCCTTCCTGGAGAGATGAGGCTGATTCAGGGGGCTGTGTGTACTGACCTGGGATGGAAGCAGCAGGTGGAAAGCCAGTCTGTGTGGCCGAATCCCGTGAGAAGCACGTTGCCTTTGGGGAGCCCCACCATCTTCCAGAGGCGATCCTCCCCACAGGAGACTAGGATGTCTCTGCGGGGGTGCACGATGATGCTGTACAGGGAGACAGAAGAAGGAGAGTCAAGGCGAGATAACAGCAAATGGTTTTACATTGTGAATAAATGAAATGGCAGTGCTCATCCCATTTCTGCAAGGCAGGACGACTCATAGAGTGCTGGCTCAGAAGTCAGAAGAGCCGGGTTCTACGTCCTGGCCGTAGCTCTAACTCTTATAGCTTTCTGATCGCCATTAACTAGTTAACTTCACTGGATCTCAAATTCCTCATTTGCAAAATGAGATGGTTGGTTTAAGTGAATGTCCATGTCTAATTTTGGTTTGAAAACAACAATTCTGGTTTTTCTTCTAGGGAGAAAATTTATGCCAATGATAATTTAGTGTTAGGATATTTGGACCGGTAGCCACGCTTATCATAGAAAATCAAAGTTCTTCTCACACAACAGTATATCTTAAATCAGGCACTATCCAGGAAAATATCATGAATCATAACCACATTATCATAATTCTATGATAAATATTATAAATGAAACATTAACTCCATGGCCCACTATCCACACAAAGCGAAGGAGCTCAAATTCTGTGCTAATATGCCACTTAAATTGGCTTCAGTCAATGCACAGTACACAAATTACGGTAATGAATTCAGGATGCAAAAGGCAATTCCCACTCTATAAAGGCATAGAGGGAAAAGAGAAAGAAGTATGTAAAATTAATGATTAACACATTAAGCAGTATTATTTGAGCCAGGCTATGATCATTGTGGCTATTTAAATATTGGAGCTACACCATTTTAAAATCAAGAGTTTACAAGGTTAATGCCTGATATTTTATCTACGGCAATGCTTTAATCTTATTTATACAGAGTTTCCTCTATGCCTTACAACGTAATGGGAACAAATATGCCCAATGTTAAGCACCTATTGAACTACGCACCTAAATGTTAGCAACAAATTGTTCAATTTCAACATAGCCATCTCAAATCAAAGACAGAATGCATTTACATGCCTATATAGTGAAGTAAAACAAATGTAACTTAAAAAATAAAAATTAGACATTCATTTCTCCCACAGTCCATTCTATGAATGGCCCTGTTCCTTTCTTCTACAATATGGATTTTAGGAAATCAATTTCCCAGAGAAGTCATGATCTCAGTCCATACCTACATGGGTAATTCCAGGGCTTATGAGAGAGCAGAACTTTTCTCACTATGGATCCCTTCTAGTAATACCTTTAAACCCCAAAATTTTGCATTATATCTATACACTTTTAGAAATCTGCTGGGGCCAATCAGTGTTGGAAACATTCAACTCACAGGCATGTAACCAATATGAGCAGGGCCTTCTTCCTAGCGAAGGACTGTTTCATTTTTCTCCAGCACTTTGCTGCTCAAAATAAACACAGTAGAAGGGAAATTATTCATTTCACAATTCATCATAATGTTGGTTTGTGACTTTCAGAATGCCAATTTAGGAAAGGAATTTATTACAGCTCAAACCGAGTAGAGGATACATTTATAGAACTTAATTAGAAGAAAAATATGAGGAGAGGTAAAAAATGTCAGATTGAAATGAATTCTATATTCAAATACACATAAGAAGGCAAAGCAAATCCTTGGAGCTACTGAGTATGATGTATGTTGGCTCACAGCATCCCTGGCAGACACACGCACACTTGACTCGATGATAAATTACCTTCTTTAAGTGAAGATAACTGAAATCATTGATGTCTTTACGAACTTTGAAAGCTAAGTTTCCAAAATGACTTTTGTGAAGGGAGCTATTTGTAGAACTTAGGGAAAGAATACAAACACAAACCCGTTGGTGGTTAATCAGTGTTTTTCCAGACTCTTCTGATCTCTTCTACTTTGGGGCTTCCTCCATACCACCTGTAACTTCTACTTCCTTTTCACATGGACTGATCATTTTGCCCATATACTCCTTTTCTAATGCTGACTTTTTTTTTTAATATCTCTCATCTATAAATGACTTTTTTTCTAATCATTCTGGACAAATTTCAGTCCAACACTGATATTCTATTCTTTAAAGAATATGATATTTTACTTCATCCATGAAATGGTCTTAAACTGAACAGAAATATTTCCAGCATATAGAGAAAGGAATTTAATGTTTCCTAACAATTGATTAATAAATACTTGTTACTGAATTAGTCACCGAATAAGTGCGTCGGTAAAGACTGGGTCATAGTGATAAAGATCCCCAATCAAGAGTTGTAAATCCCAGCTTAAGTCACTCCATGTGGGGGATGATCAAGATGGGGATCACAGGGTAAAGGCCATGGACCAGAAATATTTCCCCAGATACAGAAGTTCAGTGTTATTATCAACTTCATCATGGGGCACTGCTATCTGAAATCTCCCTCCTCCTCTTCGTCATCAATTAACAGTAATGATATCTAACATTGTTAGAAAACTTAATGTGCACCAGAATTAGTACCAAAAGCTTAACTCACAACAAGTAGAATGCGAGCTCATGAGGGCAGGAATTTATGTCTGTCTGTTTGCTGAATACTTGCTGTATACTCAACCCCAACAGTGACTGGCACATAGTAATAACAATGATGTTTCAATAAATGATTGTCCAATGTCTGACTGAGTGATTTACTTTGGTACTATTACTTCTTTTATTTTATGACTAAATAAGCAGAGGTTGAGCTATTATGTAAATTGCTCAAGCTCACATTTGGTAATGGGTGGATTCAAACAACTTTGAATCCAGGACAGTCTGACTTTAAGGCTCATGATTTTAGCTACTTCTACTTAGTATCAGTCTTTCATAGTTTATTTATTATATGTGTGATTGTAAACATCAATAATTCTTATTGCAGGGATTGGAGATGTTATCACTCCCAGAAAATACTTAAGTCATTTGGTCATTATTAAACCCTGCGTTAAAGAGCACATCTAGGAATTGTCAGTGTAGATATAGAGCTGAGTGCCGCCTAACATAATCATCTTAAAGGGGTTAGAGGATCCTACTCTTTCCAATTAAAATGCTCTGGTGTTGTAGGAGAAACCAGGTGAGTAGCACCTCTCCTACATTCTACATAAAGCCTCTGTGCTGATGTCTACATGTTGCACTTAATAAGATCTTTAGTTTGCTTTCTTCTGCTAATACTATAAGCCTTATATTGTACTTCAAGTTGTCAGAGGGCATTGATTTTTTATCCACCTATTTTCATAGAGCACTTTGTAAAGGTTAATTGTAGAAGGATATTTAATAAGCGTTGATTCCATAGGAATTTAATCTATTGAAAATTTCCCCAGTACACTCAGGCCTCAACTGTATCACTCTGCTTATCTCTGAATCAGTTTTTTGAAGAAGCTGAAGAGTAGGAGAAATAACTAATACCTTATAGGAGTCAGTTCCTGATGCCCAAATTGCTTAAATTAACTCATTTAATGGTCACAATACACCTACGAGTTAGGTCGACCGTTATCCCCACTTTGCAGGTGGGGGAACTGGGGCACATAGAGGGTAAATGATTTGTACAAGGTCATGAAGCCAGGAAGTGGCAGAACGAGGGTGGATTTGAGTGGACTGTCTCCAGAGATGACGTCTCTCAGAGGGGTGAGCTCAGAGCCTCAATTGCCTTTTCCTTTTTTAGATGACAACAGGAGCAGAAGTCAAGCTGAATGTTGTCTTATTTCTGTCTGGGGGATTTATTGAGATGCATTTTGAAGTTCCTAAAGAGCTGATCATTTTTTGTCATTTTCTAACGATGTGTCAAAGATTGTAACTATTGTCACTTGTCATTTTCTGGAAGTTGGGCTTTGGCTAGGTTCAGGGTGGTGGAGGGATGGATCAAAGATGATTGAGAAAGAAATACTTATGGTTTCAAACAGAAGTTGGACAACTTTTCTGTAAAGGGCCAGATAGTAAATCTTTTAGGCTTATGGACCATGTAGTCTCTTCCCTAACCACTCAGCTCTGCCGTTGTATCACGAAAGCAGCAACAGACAAAACATAAACGAATGAGCACGGCTGTGTTCCAATAAAACTTTATTTACAAAACCAGCTGGTGGGCCAGATTTGACCTCTGGGCCCTAGTTGGCCTACCCCTGTTCTAAAGCATTTGCACGGCATGGGACAGACTAGTGTTTAAGAGTGTGGGCTCCAGAATAAGAGTTTGAACTCTTGCTCCAGTGTTTACTTTCTAGGAATCCTTAGATACGTTAAGTTACCAGCCTTTTCCTCAGGTTCCTCTTCTGAAAAATGGGAAGAAAATAGTATTGACCTCATAGGTTTGTTTTGAGAATTAAATAAGTAAATACATATAAGGGACTTAGAATAGTGTTAGACACAGAATGAAAAGTCAGTAACATTGTCATAGTTCAGAGACACAGGGTCCCTGAGGCCGGCCTGGCTAGTTTTGAATATTGGCCTACAATTTACTTACTAGCTAATTACATCGTACAACCTCTCAGCCTCAGGTTCCTGATTTGTGAAAAGGAGGGAATAATAAAATTGATTCATAGGGGTGCTGTGTTGTGAGGATAGAATAAGTTGATATATAGAAAGTGGTTGGAACAATACCTGAACGTGGTCAGCTTTCCATGACTGTTAGCTGTTACTGTTATTCAACACGATTGCACTTCATTGTAACCTGGCCCTTCATGTAGGTAACTTCTGTAATCCATACCTGCCTCTTCTAAAGATCATGGGTAGTAAATTTAGTACTTACAATTGTAGATATTTAAAGAAAAATGGTGTTTCCACGTGGTTTTGATAGACATAGGACATTGCTGTGCTTTATTTGATGTTAAATCCTCTGATGAAAATGCAGCCCCATATACAATACTTTCACAAATGAACGTAGGTAAGTTTTGTGGTTGTTTCTGTCATGATACTGTTCTTAGGAACACATTGAGGGAAACAGTGACAGCCTGTACACACTGACTCCTATCCCTGCCTTCATGTATACAACTGGCACAAAGGAGTTGCTGGCAATGGAGGAAGGTTTCCTCTAGTCCCTGGGCATACTGAGATGAAGACAGCATAGTTCCTCTCCTCAAGCTC